GCTCGCTCACTCACTCACTCACTCACTCACTCACTCACTCTCTCACAAACACACACACATTCACAAAATATCAGTAAGGGGAGACAGACATGGTAATAAAATAACACAACAACATTGTATAATAAAAAAGGGGAAGAGAATAAACACAAACAGAAAATAACAAAAGTAAAGTATTATTATTATATTTAGGGTTCTGGGTAAAGGAGAATATTCTTCCTGAAATTACGAACTTGTTCTGTGTATTTTTTATTCAACAGAAAATATCTGTCTCCACAGGGGCAAAAGTTGTAACATCATATTTGGAGAAAAAAAAAATATTCCTCTTACAATAGAAGTTCCAGTTTCCCAGGTTGTACATGAATGAAGATGCTGAAACTTGTGTAATGAGTGGTATATCAACCAATCAAAATGAGAAATGATTTTTTTCCTCTTTCTTTTTTCTTTTCTTTTTTTCTTTTTGTGGATGTATAATGATTACAATAGCTTCTATCTGATATTATACTTATCTCTTTTTTTGCGAGATTCTGTGTAATTTACATTTGAAGCCTAGTGTTCCAATTATAAATGAAAACAAAAACAGATTTGAAAATTTATCATATTTGAATGGTTGATATTACGCACTGAAAACAAGTCTTTGTGAGTGATGCCTGGGAATAATGTACATCTTTGGTGTCATGTGGTACAAGTAAGTCATTTTTATCGTCTACAATATTACTTCAGACTAATAATTAACAAAAAATAAAAATAGATTTATATACAAATGAAAAAATACATCACTTCCACATATTACCATGAAAACAAGATAAATTAATTAATAATCTATTTCTAATTACTGTAAATCTAATTATAGTTTGTACTTTTCTAATGTAAACTACAGTGAAACTGAGTAAAAAATAAAAGAAAATAGAAAAATGACTACATTAGAATCTTTTCTCTACCTCAACACTTATCATAGCCTATCCTTTCAGGCATATTGATATTCCTTATGCTATTTAGAAAGCTTGTGTGACAACCTTCTCACAGCATAAATTAGATAAAAGAGAAAAAAAAGCTTTTAGCATCACTACAACAAAACTGATAAAAGTTTTTTTTTTACATTTTAAAAATAATGTTACCATGAAATCATACCTTAGGTATCATCTTTCTTTTTTTTCTTTTAATAAAAGGTCAGTTTAACATCCCCAGATGGCCCATATACCGGGTTGGAATATGGTTGCAGGCAACCTGCACTGCAAATAAACATTTATGCCTTTGGCAACATATGGGCATTTGTATAACAGATGAATAAAATAGGAATAAAATTACATTATTTCAACAAATATGCAAAAATACAATGCAGTGCTTTATACTGGCCTAAGCACTGCACATGTCATGGTATATCCTGTACACTACAAATAATAAGCCTCAGCCGTGTCAAACTGTGAAATTGGCTAAGTTTGCTACCAAGAAACAACCTAATATTAATCATCCCTGTATTATCCCCTAACTGCCATTATTCACTATCCATATCATTTAAACTATGCTATAAGCAAACTTATTGCTACGTACTGCACTTTCATAGAGAACATAAAGCAGAGGGGATGTTAGATGATAAAATATGAAAAATAAACTCTTCAAACATTCCTAAAATTTCCTAACGTGAAGCAAATAATTCTGTACTTTACATTCAGTTACAAGTTGCTCAATCTGATATTCATAAGGTAAATCGTAGAATGGAGCTACTTGTTAAACATGCCGTGTATTTATTCCTTTTTTTATCTCATTTTTTTTTTTTTTTTTACTTTTTGTCATAAAGTTATGCGAAAAAATATACTTTTTTTTTCCTACACTTCAAACATCTGCTACTCTAAGAATAAATGTATTAACACCTGAACTGTCACAAAACGAGATCAAGGAGTATTGTTTACTGTACATTAATAAATTACTTTTCTTTTTGTGAGGCGTATTTGCCAAGTTTTGTATTTACAGATACACAAGCACTCTTTTGTTGATCTTTTTCTTATTCATAAAATCTGGAAGTCGTATGAAAATTTCTAAAATCTTGTATCCTCTGATATTGGTCATATAAAAAAAAAAAAAATCCCAACTTTTTACTTAAAGTGAACTTATCCATTTCAGAGCAACTTCCATGGCAGCTTTAAAATCTTGTCTTCAGTTTTTTCTTTTCTTTTTCTTTTTCTTATTAACATGCATTTGCACTTCAATAAAAGTTGTTACAAACTGAAGACTGAAGACTGTAGCCAACTGAACTTAAACCTTATACATCAGAGTATAGGAAATCTACTTATCCATGAAAATACTATACATTCTCTTATGGCCATCCATCACAGATGAACTGAACTTTGTCGTAGACTGCATAAAGTGGGTAAGGGATGACCAGCACTGCCCTAAGATTGTGAACGGGAAATGCTACATGCATCAGTTCCGGTGGGTCAGGTACGCATTGCCAAGCCAAAATACTCAGCCAAAGCTTCGTGCGCTCACAAGTGGGTGGACTCGCCTGCAAAAATCAAAGCTCTAGGGTTACTTATTAAGCTCTTGAATGTCTTCAGAATATCACAGTCTGTTATGTGCATAATACAAGTGAAATATCTCTATTAATTTCCCCCAAAGATCAGTTTAAGAAGTACTGTATATCCATCAGCATACTCTCCCTATATTATGCACATGGAATGCTCTGGCAAGGAATGGGTTATGCTAAATGAAAATAAACAATTACACAATCAATGCAGTAAAAATACCAAAATAAAATGAAGAAAAAATTAATAAAAATTAGTACAGGTACACAGTAATTATAAAAAAAACACATACTACAGACTTTCAACATGCAAAAGTAAGGAGCATTTTAGTAGAAACCTTCATGCAACACATTTATTACTGTCATGCACAATCTACAGCAAGCATCTTTGTAATGGTAGATATAAAAGAATGAATAATTAAGTATATTAAAGTAGCCATACAAAGGTATAAAAAGTTAATCAGTTGATCATATAAATATTATTAGGAGAGATAAACACCATTATAATATAAACATCTTTAATGAGGATCTTCAATTAAATGTGACATTATCAGTAATTTTGAGCCTTCACTGACACTAAAGACATCTTCCTACGGAGAGTAATGACAATGGGCCTAATTTACCTAATAACAAAAGGCATCAAAATCACTAACTATTTCACATATTAACATTACATAAAGTACTCTGTATGAACCTCTAGGTGTATGAAATTTATAAAATATTTCTTTTTTCTATGATGCTCCAACATCTAAGAACCTGTACATCACTCTTAGCTATTAGTAGTATTCTATGATAATTGTAACTTGAACAATGAGTACGGCCTCATGAGATCTCAAAATGTATATACAGCATACAAAAACAGTCAGATGGTGACACACTCAAACATTATCCTTAAACTAATAGATGGGTTCTCAAAACTTTGAAAAACAAGAGAATGGAAAAATAAATCTAACAAAGAATTGTGCCCTTCAGGTTTATCATAAAAATCATTCTTTAGCTATGTATAATGAACATACTAATCTTCCAACATCTATACATATTCTAAATTTTATATACCAATTACCTACACAAAATGTACCTAAAATATGGCAACAGTTTTCTGTTTGGAAGTTCCAACTACAGGTTTACAATTTGTAGTTCGATAACTATGTGGTATATGAAGGGAAAACATGTATCCGTTATAGGACTCCTAATTGGTATATGAAGGAAAACATATATTTGTGGTAGGATTCCCAACTGGTATATCAAGGAGAATATATAGAAACAACACCAATTGCTTCACTTACCTACTACCGGTCTTTCAGCTGCATTGGCAGTTAAATACTGAGTGTGCAATCATTTCAACAATGCAAAAACTGATTTTTATCATCATCTAATATGTGTATTACCCTCCAGACTACCAGCAGATATGCTGATGCAAGCAGATACGATCCTTTCAAGACAAACGCAGTGGATGAAATACATAATTGCATATATACTAACATACATGCACACAAATACATACAGCCATCCATTATCATATTTGTGAGATGCCAATATTTTCATTCCCATGAGATAAAAAAAGAATGTGTGTGTGTGTGTGTGTGTGTGTGTGTGTGTGTGTGTGTGTGTGTGTGTGTGTGTGTGTGTGTGTGTGTGTGTGTGTGTGTGTGTGTGTGTGTGTGTGTGTGTGTGTGTGTGTGTGTGTGTGTGTGGTGTGTGTGTGTGAGTGTGTGTGTGTGTGTGTGTGTGTGTGTGTGTGTGTGTGTGTGTGTGTGTGTGTGTGTGTGTGTGTGTGTGTGTGTGTGTGTGTGCGTGCGTGTGTGTAAGGATAAGGATGTGGATGTGTAGTTAGATGCTGAAGTGGAGTTGGATGTGGATATGTGTATGCATATGTGTGTGATTTACCTGTGTCATTAAGTTTTTCAGTCCCCCCCACCCTTCCCATGTTCATTCACTACTTAATACATGAGACACTTCCATGCAGGCATACATGCACCCACACATGCACACATATACAAGAAAAAAAATACTGGAGAGGATACATGGCTGTAAACCTAATTCAACAGCCAGAGTTATTAAGCTTATGGTACTAAAAAAAAAGAAGAAGAAAAAGACAATGTACGCAACATACAGCACTGCTTTACATTTTGAGATAATTATTCTTCCCCAGTATTGTTGGCATCATTAGACTGCTGGATGATCCATTTGTATTACTTCCTACTATCTGTCACACACACGCAAACAAACAAAAATGTTGTAATAACATTTACAATTCAGTTTTCATCAACTGTGAACCTTTCATTAAAATCTTGTGACCAGAACAGGTAACAGTTTTAGTAAATCCCCAATATCTGGTTCTGCATCAAAAATCTTTTCATCTTTATAGTTGTATGCTGAAAGGTTAATCGATACATAATGGCCAAAGTTTCAAATAGTACACAGTCTTCCTGAGCCAGTCAACCAAGAAATCTTTTGTTACATTCAATTTTCACTGGGCAGGGCAAGCTAACATTGAGAAACGCCTTTTATTCCTGGTTCTCAGCAATGGCCATGACACACCTTTCTGAACATACGGTAGGGAGTAGGGATGTTTTAGAAATTCCAAACTAAGTACATATGAAAAGGCAAGATGACCCAAATATGGTGAGCAGAAAAGTTATTTTCCTTTGATATATTTTCCAATGACAGTAATAAAAAAGTTGTATATTGATGACAATAAAAAAAAAGATAAGCCAAAGATTCAATTCAGATAGCATTAGACTTAATCTGTTAAATAAACTGACATAAAATCATGGCAACACTTGACTATGTGTTGCCATCAACATCGGTGGTACAAGAGATCTGGGTAATGTTATACAGAGAGGATCGCTATATCGCCAACTGGACCAGCACTTCTACAAAACCCCTTCAAGAAATTCTTAACACTGGTGGGGCGGAGAGGGGGTAGAGGCCACAACCACCGAAATATATTGTATCACAGTCATCCACTCAGTTTTACTAACACAAGTGATTCCTGAACAGATATCCATGACCAAATGTTATTAAATAAACTACACGACAAAATGAGGACTTCAGAACAGTTAATATATGTATTTAGACAACAAATCACATATAGCAGCATTGGCATAACAAAACTATCTAATAAATTTGGTCATGATATGTGTCTTAGTGCAATGTATAGAAAAGTATTAAACTCAAGAAAAACACCAATATATGAATCATGAAAAAAAAAAAAAAAAAAAAAAAAAAAAAAAAAAAAAAAAAAAAAAAAAAAAAAATCTTTCATGCAGTATCAATCTGAAAATTGTGAGAATGTGCATGTGTTTTTGTATAAGCATATGCACTTGCACATATACAAGTTTTAGTATGTTTAAATATGACTGAAGTGTGGGTAAATAAATATGTATACAAATTCAATGAATGTAAAGCAGCAGGGGAGAGAGGATGTATAAAAAAGAAGGAAGGAAGGAAGGAAGGAAGGAGGAAGGAGGAAGAAGGAAGGAAGGAAGGAAGGAGGGAAGGAAGGAAGGAAGGAGGAAGGAAGGAAAGGAAGGAAGGAAGGAGGAAGGAAGAAAGGAAGGAAGGAAGGCAGAAGGAAGGAAGGAAGAGGAAGGGAAGGAAGGAAAGAAGGAGGAAGAGAAGGGACGAGAGAGAGAGAGAGAGAGAGAGAGAGAGAGAGAGAGAGAGAGAGAGAGAGAGAGAGAGAGAGAGAGAGAGAGAGAGAGAGAGAGAGAGAGAGAGAGAGAGAGAGAGAGAGAGAGAGAGAGAGAGAGAGAGAGAGAGAGAGAGAGAGAGGGGGGGGGGGGAAGGAAAGGAAAATGTCAGAGTAAGAGAGTGTAAGTTTGAGTTAAATGTGAGCATGAATGTGAAAGTGAATGAGAGCAATGGTGAGCCTATGAGAGTGAGTGAATGAGTGAGTGAGTGTGAGATGTGTGGGTCTGTGACATGTGTGTGTTGTGTTGTGTGTGTGTGTGTTGTGTGTGTGTGTGGTGTGTGTGTGTGTGTGTGTGTGTGTGTGTGTGTGTGTGTGTGTGTGTGTGTGTGTGTGTGTATGTTGTGTGTGTGTGTGTGTGTGTGTGTGTGTGTGTGTGTGTGTGTGTGTGTGTGTGTGTGTGTGTGTGTGTGTGTGTGTGTGTGTGTGTGTGTGTGTGTGTGTGTGTGGTGTGTGTGTGTGTGTGTGTGTGTGTGTGTGTGTGTGTGTGTGTTGTGTGTGTTGTGTGTGTGTGTGTGTGTGTGTGTGTGTGTGTGGTGTGTGTGTGTGTGTGTGTGTGTGTGTGTGTGTGTGTGTGTGTGTGTGTGTGTGTGTGTGTGTGTGTGTGTGTGTGTGTGTGTGTGTGTGTGTGTGTGTGTGTGTGTGTGTGTGTGTGTGTGTGTGTGTGTGTGTGTGTGTGTGTGCTGTGTGTGTGTGTGTGTGTGTGTGTGTGTGTGTGTGTGTGTGTGTGTGTGTGTGTGTGTGTGTGTGTGTGTGTGTGTGTGTGTGTGTGTGTGTGTGTGTGTGTGTGTGTGTGTGTGTGTGTGTGTGTGTGTTGTTGTGTGTACATGTGTGTGTGTGTGTGTGTGTGTGTGTGTGTGTGGTGTGTGTGTGTGTGTGTGTGTGTGTGTGTGTGTGTGTGTGTGTGTGTGTGTGTGTGAGCATGTGTGTGTGTGTGAGCATGTGTGTGTGTGTGTGTGTGTGAGCATTGTGTGTGTGTGAGCATTGTGTGTGTGTGAGCATTGTGTGTGTGAGCATGTGTGTGAGCTGTGTGTGTGTGTGTGAGCATGTGTGTGTGAGAGCATAAGTGTGTGTGGGGGGGGTGAGCATGAGTGAGCGTGTGTGTTTGTTTGTTTGTTTTATGCATGCAGGCAAGTGTATGTGTAATTCTTTTTTTTTTCTCACACTAAGCTGGCAGCATTCTTGAGTGATAAAATTAGCATTCAAACGAACACTCTTGAAAGCAAGCCTTGGCACTATCACATATATAAAACAGTTGTACCATCATCTGTAATTCATATAATATTAG